CACACAGACAACCCCGTAACAATATGCGTTTTGTACTGCTGTTACACGGCACAAAACGCATAATAATAAGTAGCAAATTATAAGTAGTAAACAATAACAAGTAATAAATAACAAATAATGGCAAATAATAGATAAAGTAGTCTAAAATAACAACCGTGCTGTAGTCACGAAATAAAAATAGTAGTAAAGCTATAATACTAGGTAGGTGACAGAATGCTTTTTCTAGAATCAAAAGTTTGCGTAGCAGTATACCGTGGTGATTGTGATTGTTAGTTTTGGCATTATCCCCGACTTTTGATTCTGCTTTGTAGAGTTTGCTGTCGTCGGACCCGAATTTTTCTTGCGAAAAATTATACTCACGTGTAATCAACGCATTCCTTGTTACACTTTTGTTTTGTATTGCGACGCTTCACTCGTTCTTTTAATCACTATAATAATATGGCGATGCAAGGTTGTGTGGTGAAGCATCATTTCTGGACAACACAATGATCGATGTTGGATGACGAAAATGATGGCCTAGCAAAGGCAACCACCAGCATCGGCAGTAGGACGAGCAGCAGCAGCAGTAGCTATTGCTGTCCTCTTTGGCTGCTTTCTAGCTCATGCTTTCATAGCAAAGTCAACGCCACTCATTCCAAACATGTATCTTTCTCTCTTTTCTTTGTTTTCACAGAAATTTATTAAAAAATCAAAATATCTAAATATAATTTGTAAGGCGGTTCATGTAACTTTTTTTCATGGTCTAGCCGAAAACATCTTTTGTTAGAGTACCAGGAATACGAAGACCGCCGTGACGGCTGATGTAAGAATCCCCTGTTAGTGGTGTTACTGGGATACTCCCGCACGCCGGAAAAAGTTTTGCCAGGTCCTTCGACCCTGGGCTACATTAGCCCCAGTTTAGTGCCTAGCTTCTGTTCGATGCGCGCCATTTCCTCGGAGGTCGCTCACGTGATCGTTTTATAAATATATTGTTGTCTACATTTTCGCATTTCCATAGTTCATTATAGCTAAAACACCTGGAAAAATTGTTCCCCCCCCCCCACCCCCATTTTTGCATCTGGTAACTTTTCCAGCAACTAGTTGTTTTGAGCATCACTGCATTGCTTGCTGGACAGGCTGCAATCGATGCGGGCGCTTTTCGTCTCCTGAAGGAATTAGGAGCTTAACGGTTGTACTAATAGAAGCACTTGGCGCGATGTTAGCCGTTTTGAGCTGTCTTTTGACTATTACGTTGTCTGGAATACTGCTTCCTATAGAAGTGTCTAAGGGAGTGAAAATGTTTCATTATATTGCACTTAATTTCCAAATAGTACTGTATTTGATTCATAATTTAGTGATACTTCAGATTTCGCATAGCTAATTCTACAGACTGTTTATTATTCTTTACCGAAAAAACACATTCTAATTATAATTGAGATGGAGCGTTATTATTCATCAAGTTGTAAATTTATGAAAGCATTTGCAGGCTGAAATATCGCCATTGCGTAAAGCGGAAATATCACAGTTACCAGCTGCAGTTAAAGCTGACAATGCAAAACGAAATGCGTGAGTTATTTGTGCTTTTTTTTAACTTAGCTAATCAGATGAGCAATTCGAATGTCCTGTTAGATAGAGCCGGTTTTCTGTACGGTTTTGGCCGATTTCTCGAATCAGGAAAACCCGATACCGTAGTTTTTAGCCTCTTATCATTAGTAGAAAACATGCAAATCAGTATATTCTTTTCTCATTATCCGTAGGTCCGATTTTGTGACACTGAAATAACTGAATTTTGCGAGAAAAAACTCAAATTTCCCGAAATTTTTTTTGTTTTTGCGAACCAACTACGATAAATCCAGCAAACACAGTTTTTCTGTGTCCATTGAACTTTTGGAAGTAATTTATGTGTTGTGATTCGGCCCTCGTCCATTTTTTATGGGCCTCTTTTGCGATGTCATTTGCGCTATGGGTTGCCCAGTGGAAACTATTTTTATCACCCTTTGTTGGGATTTTAATTATCTCTTGCAACGTTTTGTGTCTTTTCGCTCGAAATTCCTTCCATCCTCCAATTTTTGTAAGTTTTTTATTTAGTTCTCGAAACCAGTTGCTGCCCACAGGATAAACAAGTTATAATTTTTTCATTTATAATTCCTGCGCGGAATGCAAAATCCCTTTTCAGTGCTGGGATCTCAGAATTAATGTGAGAGAGTTTGGATGGGAGGTGGATGTGGGTGGAAGGTGATATTAGAAGTGAAGTACTGTTTTGAGTTGAAGCAGCTCGGTCTATGACTAGCATAACTGGAGAAGTGCAGTGAGACTTCTCCCCCCCATGGATAACAGTCTTGGCCATACCGGTAAGCAAACCCAGCATATCTAAAAACTTTTTTGCTTAAAAATTTCGAACAATTAAGCGCAAATACGGCAAGTAGTTCCAAGTTGCACCACTTACTAGAACTCAGAAAGTTGGTATGACTTACTCCGCAAGAGGCTATTTGGGGGGGAGATGTTCCTGTACTTGATTGCAATATACAAAGTTGCAAGGTTTTACAGGCTTCCTCCTGGGTTGCGGTTCGATCACGAACTCGAAATGGTGCTGCCTGAAGGAGCGGACGAAGGCGAGGGCACGAAAGGAACGCAGACAAAACGAACAAAAATATATTCCGGATATTGCTTGCGTCCGTTTCCTGCTGCTCGTGGCAACTACGCAGTGGATTATTCCAGAAAAACGAATGTGAAGTTGCGAAAAGAGAGTTCGTCTAAGTTCCTTCCTGAAAATTTTTGTTATCTTCGACTGTTGCGG